CACTCTGGACTTCTGGAGTACACGGTCTGATTCTGGATCTTTTCTAGACTCGATACCGCCGGACCAGCTTCTTTTCAACCACCTCTACTATTGGCCAGAGGATTGGCGGCGAGATCGGGACAAGTTTGAAATTCAAATGTGGGACGGGAACTAAATAAAATTGCGGAAACAAAGTATTCTAGGTTGATTTTTGCCCAAATTCACTTACCCACTCATATTTTTACTTTCTCGCTCCCCTGGGGTAGAGAGGAAGTATTGTCATCCTCCAAGAAAAAAAAAAGTTGAAATTTCATCATTTCTAGACGTTTTAAGGTCCCAGGAGTCAAAATAACCATACTTGAAAAAATGTGTGTCCGTCCGTCCGACGTCCCCCAAATCTGTCTACAGCGATATCTCAGAATCTATCTGTTCGATTTCATTCAAAATTCTCACAGAACACCATATTTATGGTCTCCTTATGCACGTCAAACGATTTTGGGGTACGCTAAAATTTGGGGGGCTAGGGTCAAATTGGGTTAAAGGTCCCTTTTCAGCAAAATCACACGGAAAGCTTATTTTGAGGGACTGTAAATTTTGAAAAATGCCTTTAATTCTTTGAAAGTGGGCATCAAGCACATCACCTGGGTCATTAATTTAAGTTCCTAAAAGATCTTTGGACTAAACTCAAAATTCAAGGGATTTAGAGGCCCAAAAGTAGGGCACTTTGCTCCGCGACATCACACAAACAACTCATTTTCAAAGACTGTAAATTTGAAAAAAAAATGCCTTTCATTTCGTCGAAAGTTGGCATAAAAGCACCACCTGGTTCAATAATGTAAGTTCCTATGAGGTCTTTGGACTAAACTAAAAATTGAAGGGTTACGCGTCATATAGCGAGAAGAGCACTTCGGTCACACGGAGAGCTCATGGACTGTAGATTTTGAAAAAAATGCCTTTAATTCTTTGAAAGTTGGCTCAAAAGCACCATCTGAGTCATTAATTTAAGTTCCTAAAGGATTCTTGGACTAATCTCATAATTGCAGAGGGGCCGATAGGAAACGCTCAATTCTCTGATAAATGAGTCGGAACGCTTCTAGATAATGGCAGCAAACGCTTTGAGTCAGGTGAAACCTAGGAATTCAAATGCATTATATCATATACGATTTCCAAAATTACTCCGTAGGTATACACCAAGCAAAATTAGACAACTCATTAGATACTAACATTACATAGGTACTATGAATCATCAAGCTAACGCAAGAACTGACTCTTAGATCTTTATTAAAAACTAATATGTTTGTTGTTAATGAATTTAGCATCCCGGCAGATTCCATCTTTCGCGGTTCCTTTTTACGAGGTACTAAGCACAAATATGACTGATTTAATGCTTGTTAAGGTTTATCTACAGCTGCGTGAAGTATGAAATTTCTCCGCGCAGGGGGCGCCACCGCTGTGTTTTGATTTTTTGGTCCACGCTATTGGAGTCCGTACAGCCCCTAGTAAGTTCCTGAGCTTTTATGAAAGTTAGGGGAACTTCTGTTTAAATCGAAGAGTCATAAGTTCTAGCCATAACATTCTTCTTCCTATTGACACTAAAAACGACGTAAAAAGAAACTTCTGAAGCTCTGAAATTAGATCCCAGAAAAAAGGTGGGTTAAGCATGATGGCCTTGATGCAACCAATCGCGATAGATCGCTCTCAGCGGTTGCAGATATCTCTCTCCCACCATGAGCTGTCTCTCGCGCACTTACAGATATCCCGTAAGAGAAACTGGGATCAAATTGTAGCTTTTATTATTAAAGTTTCAAAGCTCGCGTTTGTTTCTAAGGATTCCAGACGTATGCTGCTAGAACTTATGAGTCTTAGAATTTAAGATATCTATTGTGATATTTAAATAATCACTGATTTCGGAGTCGGATTTTAGCAGCGCGACGTGGTGGATTTTTTCAGAACTACAGCTGAAGATTAACCTTAATAAAGGAGGTTATAATTGTTATAACCCGAGGTTTGTTGACGTTTGTCGACAGCAGCAAGGAGATACCGCTCTCTATTGTTTTCGCTTTGAATTATGGGGATACGCGATAAGGAGATGGCGCTCTTGGCGGGGGTGTGGTGAACCTTCCAGCAGGTAGATTCGCCCGCCAAATTTAAAATTTGGGAGATGCTAAGCGAAAACCGTTTAGTTTTAAGACTTTTTAAACATCGAATGGTCATTCTACCCATTAAAGTAGATATTTGATGGCTTTTGACCGTGCTTAAGGAGAGATTATAATATAAAATCGTATCTGAAGTATGATGTCAATGAATCTAATGGATCCTAATGAATCGTAGAAAAGCTAAGATTTTTACGGATCGCCGTCTTTGACAGGAGACTTTGTTAATCAATTACATATTTAATTGAAGATGCCTCATAAATTCAACAAGTCGAGTCCGAATATATGAATTCATCACATACCGCGAAGACATTTACAATAAAGTTCAGTGGTTTGAATAAAAATTTCATAACTATTATCCTGCGATCAAAATTCCAATCAAACTTTATGATTTTGTAGAATTGGCGGTATTTTTCCAAATATTCCAGTAAAAGTGTCTATGCCGGCGCTCCGCGCCGGCAAAAGCGAGAAAGTGTTGTGCGATTCTCGCACCATGATGGGGAGCGAAGCCCCCCCCACATGCCGGCGCCAAACGCCGCGCATAAATTGGCCGGAGGCCGATTTTTTTTAACTTTAGGTTAGCTTTGCTCCGTCGTCGACCGATTAATTTCATTTGGGAGTAACGGTCATCTAGAACTGTAACGGCCTGTTTGAACCTGCAGAACCACCATGAGCAGAAGAAAAACTAACTTTATCTGAGATTACTGCCTGTTACCGAGCAAAAGTAGGTGTATCATAATAGGACGCAGTCCCAACTTTTAGAACACGTTTAAAAGATGAAATGTGGAAAAATCAAGAGGACAAGTTCAAACCAAATTTCCGTTCGCCGCCATGGATTCCCGCGCTCATTTACACACTCACAGAAGCACCCAGCGCCAAACCGGGCTTCACTTTTCCCCCGTGCTTTTAGATACGAGCACTCCGCCTTTATGTCTTTGGTGCCGCTAGCATTAAGACAGGTTAGGTTACTTTTCGTTGCATCGATCAGCCGTGTTTCCAACGCGAATCAGTAATTTAAATATTTAATTATTTGCACCATAAGGCGACGTTGCAAAATGCTTCGATAGGTCGATTAACGATACTTAAAATATTCGACACCACCATCACACTTAGGTTAGGTCATTCAACAACGTTGTAAATCGTTCGACTCAAATTAGATCACTCGATACCACCAGACTCAGGTTAGGTTACATTTTGATGGCTCGAAGATCGATACTTAGGTTATACTAGCCGTCCTGGACGCGCTTCGCGCGTCCGTCACGGCCAGCCAAGGGGCTGCGCCCCCTGGACCCCTGATCACTCGCTACGCGAGCGACATTCGGCTCGCTCCGCGAGCCATTTTTCTCAGTGGTTGGACATTTGATCACTAAGATGTATACATTTTGGAAACTCTAGAGGGAAAAATTTTCGTCACAGAACCTTGTTGCCGGAGCGTGCCATCATTTGCACGAGAATAGATGTGTGGAGATGAAGCGATGATGGGGCTCGATCATTTCTTCAAAAACGCATTTGACTGGGACGTCATCCCTTCGGACGGGTGGCGGAAAAAGACAATCCATGGATCTCCTTCCGCGATTTGACTTGCTGAAGTGGCAAAAGTTCATCTTTACTTCTTAAGAAGATTATCGGTGGCGTAGAAGTCTAAAAACTGCTCAACGATGGTATGGTTTGAGTTCCGAATCGCAATGAGCCCACTCGTGTTTTTTCTTATACTTTCATCGCATATAAATTTCTCTGATGTTTTTGTTTAATTCTCTCTGATTGCATATTAGTAATCATATCCTCATTTCATTTCCTTTCCCTTTCCTTTTACCCTTTCTGGAGCATCTGTGTCCATTTACAATTATTATTTTAAAATAGCTTTCCTCTAGTATACAATTGATGCTTCAAACGGAATGAATTGTTTTAATGACATTTCCGGCTAAATCATGGGTTTTCCCGGGAAGGCAGCCTCTCGTCCCTCCCGGACTCTATTGTTGCCAGATAAGTTGCTTTTTTAGCACTTTTCCCAATTCAAATCCATGTAAAATATTCACATCATCGCACAATCTGGCAACCTCTCGAGTGAAATAGAAAAAGGTAGAATCGCTGAAAGTCTGAATCCTTCGAAGTTTATATTAATGATGAAATGATGATTTCGATGGATCCAAAATCAAAAATGAAAATTCACGGAAAAAAACTGTGTTTAAACCGATATTTTCACACTACCTCTTAAATTATGTATGAATGCAGTACCTATATTTAAGAAGTTGTCGGGGATCCAGCAGGCCAAGCCTGGCACAAACACGTACAGTGGCCCTAAGATGCATCTAATATTCAGTCAATTTCCAAACATTGCCAGGACCTCCCCCCCGCTTCCTTCTACAGGTGGCATTTTGTGCCCTTCTCTCCTCGGCGGGCGACGTTACGGTTGGGTACCATTTTTCATGTGGAGCGAGGCCCCCTAGAAAAGGATTTACCTCCACCTATGCTTGTGGAGGGAGGGGACAGAGAGCTCTACTACCCTTAATCCAGCTCTAAACTGCTCTAGTGATTATATTGTTGGCGAATAATCAGTAAAACCTATTGGATCTCAGAATCAGGTCGGGAGTGACCAATCTTCGGTAGGTAAGGTATTTTGGATTCTCGTTGATTTGATTTTTTCCCCTCAGGAGAGCGTTTAAGTACTCTTCACAATAAAAGAGGAAAACGTTTGATAAATTATTTCCATCACTTTATGATCTCCTTATAATAATTCCGCGTAATGAATGAAAAATGAAATTAATTCAAAATGATCCGACACCCTTTATTTACTAAAAACCATTAGTTGAAATATATTAGGAAATATTTCAAAGTTATATTTTTGTATTCAGGATATCTTACGGGTACCTTTTTTTCTTATTAACAAGGTCTTTGAATAAGATCACAAGTTCAACAAATGAGACCGATGTGACGTGAATGATTTGATTGTACAAAATTTGAGCTTCATGGGCCAGATCCAGTGTAGATGAATGGAAATGCTTGCAAGCCTCAACGCAGATATCTCTTTCCTCTTTGATCAAATCTGCGGAAGAAATCAATTTCTGTCCGATAGCGGAGAGAGAATCATTGGCCCAGATCTAAATGGAAAAGAAAAGTTGTGTAGAATGATTAAAGTTGAAAATGTGACAACTTGAATATCGAAGAACATGAAAATTAAGTGCACCAAACTAACGCGTTGAGGTATTCCTTTTCTGACGTAATTATTACTATGAACTCTGACTCTTAACTTCTATTCTCCGTCACAGCTCATTCTACTTACCGTTCTACAGGGCCGATTTCGATTGTTTTTACTGCTAAAATTGGCGATGTATGAGCCCTAAAATAAGCCCGTTTTATTCAAATTAACTTACGGGGGCCCTCAGAGCGGACCTTGAAGTGCGCCCCTGGAAGATGGACCGCGTAGCAGCCAGAGGGTACCCCCTTTGTGTTTCGAATTCCTGGAACTTGAAGTATTTAGGAATTAGGCTTGAGCAAACGAGATAAATAGATTTACAAAATGATGTTTCTTATTGCTGAAATGAGGGACCTGAAGTTAGTGCCTTATCATGGCCAACAGATACCTACTTTTGAGCCTAAATAAATCGGGTGTGTTTACTATTATCCTATACACTCAAGAAACGATTCGTATTACGAACCAAAATTGGATCAGATGATAACATTATATTAATCAATTTTTTAAAAAAAAATAAAATAAAAAATGTTACGAGTTAGGTATTAGTCGAGGTGATGATTTTTCAAACAAGGGTAGAGCAGAACATCCTTTTTTCCTCTCTATATCAGTGAGGGTGCGTGGGCTGAAACTCCGGGGAGAGGCATAGAGAAAAAAAGGAGGTTTCTGCATCTTGAGGTTTGTTTACCCTGTGACGTAGGTTGGTACAACCTGGCCAGCGAAATCCGGAATTCGAAATATGAAAAACGGACCATAATGTCCATTTTTTTTTCTTAAATCAACTCATGATATAATTTCAAGCACTTTTTATGGAATGACTTTTTTCCATAAATTACACTATTTCCAAGAAAATCGATGATAAACGTCGCTATACCGACCTACGTCATCAAAAAAATTCCAAGATGCCCGAAATGCAAACACCTCCTTTTTTTTTCTCTATGGGGGAGAGGTGACATTTTGAAAAACCGGACAAGGGATCGGGGGTTCCCCCGAGTTGAGAGATGCTTGGGCCTCCTCCCACGGAAAAGGTTTGAAAATTAAGTAGGTAGCCTAGGCACGCAATTTACGGTTATATTTGTAGCAAACTTTCTTGGGATTCCATAGGAAAAAAACTTGCTATTATCCTCGGACAAGATCCTAGAAAAGGGAGGAATTTTATGTTCCTGAGTTCAACATTCCAAAACATTTACGGAACGTAGCAAAAATGTATTCTAGCACCGAATAACAGTATCGTCAATATTAGTCGAGAACGATTCGTCGTCTCTCACACTAAGAAACGTAACTCCATTCCAAGGTTGCCTTACTTACTCGATAATTCATTTTACAAAGTTATACGTTTGCAGTTTTTATCCACATTTTTCCTGATTTTTGCATGAAATCTGAGATAAAAGCAGTGAAATTTTTAGTAACCCTGGTAAAAATAAGCCATACAAATTACCTATAGCCCGGCCATAGGAAAAATCCTATGGTAAATTGAAACATGGCCTTTTGGCGATAGGAATTTTCTATAGCCGGCGATTGAGAATTCCTATGGCTGGCTGTAGGAATTCTCAATCGCCGGCTATAGAAAATTTAGGGGTTCGCAGCTAGGGGATGGTGGAAAAGGGTTAATTGTGGAAATAAATTTTGAAACCATGAAAAATAATAATAATGAAACTACTGGGACGTAATTTACCCGATTTTGAAGATTAGACATTTCTACCTACCTTAGGGATTGAACCCGGGACCTGCCTAACACAAACCGAAGACCCTAACCATTAAGCTATACCAGATGCTGCCTTCATGTGACGCAAAACCGATATTTAACGTCGATTTGAACGGGAAACTAGGATATTTTCAATCTGCCTGGATTTGTCCGTGTATTTATTTTACTTTTTACTTTACTATATTTATTTTCAAATTTATTTTATCGTTTTACTTGATTTATTTCCTTGCTGACTCTATTTTTTTCTTCACTCTATTTTATTTTTTCAAGTACTTCATTTTTTTTCTTAAATTATTTACTTCTTATTCCCTTATTTTGTTATATTTTTTACTGTAATTTATTTTAATACTTCGTCATGTTTACTTTTTAAATTCATTCTATTCTTTAACCTCATTTAGTTTCTTCCCTTATACTTTATTTTTTCTTCACCTCATTTTTTTACTTCATCTCCTTGCTCCCTCTAATTTTTTACTTCAATTTAGTCTTTGACTTCATTTTATCATATATTTAATTTACTTTATTTGATTTCTCTTCTGTTGTCTCTGTAATTCTATTATTTCTGCTACTCTATTATTTCCACTATTCTATTCTATTATTTTACTTATTTACCTGAACTTTAAATTTTTCATTTTCATCATTGGATTGGTAGGCCTAAAGGGAAGAAGAGACAGTATATAGCGCTAGTGCGAGAGAGAGATAGCCTAGGTGCGCGTGACTTAGGGCCCAACTGAAGCTCCGGTGCGGAGTGCTTTGCGCACTCATGGGACACATCTCAGCACCTATGCGCTGAATCTCACTCCCCTGTTCATTCTCAATCCGGATTTTCCGTTGGACGGAATCAACGATTTTTAACATTGTATATGGCCGATTCAAATAAAAAAAAATCAAAATCATAACAAATTTTGGAAAAGTAAGAATTATTGAGAAAAAATTGAAGAAAAATATTTTTAGAAAAGAAACCAGGATAGATTCACTGGCGCTTATGATGATTTTCGAAAAAAATTACTTTTTTAATTGCCCCTCGTGCACACGCGTATTTCCAATCGCCGGATACTGAACATTCTGTTGCCGGCTACAGATGGCTGTTTTGGCAGCGGATGGTTATTGCCGTTATCCACAAGTGGCCAGCTATTGAATGTCCTATCGCTGACTATTCACGGCTAACGCCGGCTGCAGAACGTTCTATCGCGGCCATTCGTGGCTATCACTGGCTGTAGAACTTTCTATCGCCGGCTGTAGAACTTTCTCTCGCCAGCCATACGTGGCTATAGCCGGCGATTGAACGTTCTATCGCTGGCCATTCGTGGCTATAACCGGCGATTGAACGTTCTATCGCCGGCCATTCGTGGCTATAGCCGGCGGTTGAACGTTCCATCGCCGGCCATTCGTGGCTATAGCCGGCGATTGAGCCTTCTATCGCCGGCCATTCGTGGCGATAGAGCTTTTTATCGCCGGCCATAAGGGCGATAAGAAAATCCTATCGCCAGCTATAAAAGCTATAGAAAATCCAACAGACGGCCATAAGATTTCTCTATCGCCTTTATGGCTTATTTTTACCAGGGAAGGAATGTCCATGAGTTTCCTGGTTAATATGCAATTGGCGAGGGGAAATTGCTTAACATTGAAATGAAGTTACGTTCTTGCGTGAAGGAAACGACAATCTGTGAAGAAAAACTCGACATTTGGTCAGGAGCTGTAGGCCGTCCCTCTAGCCTCTTACGCACACCGCTCCTGCTTTCCATTATGAAAAATGTTCAGAGTTGAATTCGAAAACAAGAAGATACTGTACTCACGTGAAACCAGTTAATGGCACAGCAATTTACTAGAGCGGGATATTTGCGGAGTCTTTGACGGAAACGTTTATCCGTTGGATTAAGAGCGATCATAATGTGAAGCTGCTCCCTTACAGTTTGTAAGAAAAAATTATACAGAGCCACAGTACTGCCGTCCGACTGAAAATGAAAAGTTACGAAAAATTACTACCAAGAACAATTCCGTTACGTGTGTTCCCAGGAGCTTCGCCAGAATTTGCCAGTGCTTGAGTTTTTGCTGCTGCCTGGTATCAAAAATCAAATGACCTTCAAAGGACTCCGTGCACAAGCCCCCCAAAATGTCCCGTTTCCACAATTAATGAAATTTATACCAGTGATGGAGGAACACCTCCGGCCTCCGAATCTGGGATTGGTCTAATCCCCAGCCTCCCGAGTGCGACGTTGCCTTTCTTAAATTTTAAACACGTACACCCCCATAACTTTTGAACAGTTAAAGATATTAAGGTGCGGTTTGTTTGAGTTGATAAAACACAAGACGAGCTATCATTTCGTAAGTGGTTTTTATCCATTCTTGCCAAATTTACCCAAAATTCATTATTTTTCGATTCTTGTGAGGTGTAAAAATACGGTTATTTTGTTACTTTGAGACAGTAGAAAGTCTATATTATACAGCTACAAGCAAAATCTTGGAAGCACTATTTCTGACGAACTGCAAGACCGATATGGATGATCTTTACATGTATGTCATCTGTATTAGATGTAGATGTGCAAAAAATTATGAAACCCCGAACTTTTAATTATGTAGAGCTTTTAAAGCTCATGTCACTTAAGTCCAATGTTAATAGCGTGAGAGATATGTCGTTTCCGCTCGAAACGTCAAGGTGTGGGATTCTACCTGAGTGACTCGAATAAACAATAAAACAATGGAAAACCTCGTGAAGGGCTCCGCATTCGAAGAGTTGAGGAACGGTGCATCGCTCAGGGTTCAAGGTTCAAAGTCCAGGGCATAAGGTTTAACTCAATTTTTCCTGCATTCTTCCGGCTTCGATTTGTGGCATTGGTCAATTTACTCGATTGCTGAATTTCTATTAATATTTACAGCAGATAAACAGCAGATACAAAGTGAGAAGGCGGGCGCTGCGTCGCGTCGACACGGACCAAATATTATTAACTCTTAACGGTCGAAATCCGATTTTTTTTTTAAAAAAATTAAAGTATTTAAAAATAACATAATAAATGGAAATTTCTCCAGTAAGTGGACTATGAAATTATGTACATCCAGCTATTCCTCATCATTTACAAATCTGAGTGTTACGTCAAAAATTTGGAAATCGATGCAGCTCGAACACAAAATAGTGTATTAAAATGGAAGAACATTTATGCCTATACATATGCGTATTGGGCCCGCGAAGCGGGACTGAGGGCGCGAGGCGCCCTCCCGGGGGTTGGACCGCGTAGCGGTCAGGGGGCAGGACCCCCTAGTAAAGTATATTAACAGATAACCTTTCTGCATTTTGTCGAATGCTCAGGCACTTACTCAGAATGCCTAGGCAAATCGTGAACCTCAATTTTTCCTCTCACGTTTCGACTAAGTACTTCCTCTGTAAGTATTTGACAAAATAAATTGATTTGACTAAAAGCCTGCGACTCATACAGACTATAAACGTATACGTTTGTGGTCAATACGTCCGAAAAAAAAGAAAGAAAGGCCCTCATTGGACGTATAAAATCACTTACTTGAAGAACCTTATCCCTCTTCCTGTCCAATGATCGGATTCGTTCACACAGGTCCATTTTTTCATCCAAGGCAAATAGGTTGGGAACTTCACCAAATGTTAGAACATTGCAAACGTCTTCAACCATAGACTCTTCCAAAATCTGAGAAAAAAATAGAGTTTCAAAACTTATAGGAAACCAAGAAAGAACATGATAAAAGTGTGGATGATGATTCAATGAGCTCGTTTCTAATGATGCTAGTCGTTCTGGGTGCGCTTCAAGCTTCCGTCACTGCTAGCCGAGCGGCCGCGCCCCCTGGACACCAGTCACTAGCGACGCGAATTTTTTTAAGTCGTTGGACATTTGATCATTAGATACAGATATATTTTAGAGACACCATAAAAAGAAAATTGTAATGTCAAAGAACCCCGCGTGTCCCGTAGTTTGAAGGTTCGGTCGGCGGACTTCCTATCCGGCCTCTAGGTTGTTATCGCGTGGACAAAATTGAACCTCCCCCCACTTTGACCCCTCGCTGTGCGAAAAGTAATTAACGTACTCCGATTTTTTCTTCACAGTTTTAGGGGACTATAAACCCCAGAAGTTTTGTTTCAAAAAACTTAAAAATTAACTGCCACTCATAGCTCTGAAAGCTGAAAAATCATATATACAGGGTGTTTCAGACCACCCGTACCAGGCCTTTTTCACGGTTGGTTTAGGTCGTACGAAGTCGGAGACCGCGGGGTTGAATAGGGAATTGACCCCAAGGAATCCGAATTTCGTGGTACCCCCCCTCCACCCCCCTTGGGGGGTAAAGGGGGGTCACGATGCTAAAAGTCACGGTTCCCGACCGAATTGCGGATTAATCGCATCAGAATTGGAAAGCACGGAAAATTTCACGTGAAATTGACCCCTAAAAATCCAAAATCGGACCATCCAAGGCCCAAAAATGACCCCCTAAAGAGAGGACCAGTACCCCCCTCCATAATTTCTCTTTGGTCTCAAAATTGACGTAAATTCTCCAAAAAAAGACGGTTTCCCAGGTAATCGACCTCGAGAAATCCAAATTTCATGGTCCCGAAGCTCCTCTAGCGCCCCTTGGGGGGTAAACGGGAGGGCCCAATTTTAAAAATCGGGGCTCCTTTCCGAATTGCAAATTGATTGCATCCAAATTGAGGAGCAGAAGACATTTACATCTTAAGTGACTCCTAAGAGTTCTAATAGACCCCCGAACGGCAGAAAGTAACCCACTGAGGAGGGGGGCCTCGCCCCCGCCAAAAAATTTCTCAGGATTCCTCTTTGCTCGCAAAATTGACGTCGATTCTCCAGAAAAAGACGGTTTCCCATGTAATCGACCCCGAGGACTCTAAATTTCATATTCCCTGAGCTCCTCGGGGTCGATTATATGGGAAACCGTCTTTTTCTGGAGAATCGACGTCAATTTTGCGAGCAAAGAGGAATCCTGAGAAATTTTTGGCGAGGGCGAGGCCCCTCTCCCCAGGGGGTTACATTCTGCCGTACAGGGGGTCTATTATAACTCTTAGGAGTCACTCAAGATGTAAATGTGTTCTGCTCCTCAATTTGGATGCAATCAATTTGCGATTCGGAAAGGAGCCCCGATTTTTAAAATTGGGCC